ATCCAGACTATTAGTTTATTTATAGTTTTCAGATTGATAAGGGTGTTGAAGTACGTTTTTTAGGTACTGTAGTAGACTAATAGTTGATTCGTTCTAGGAATAAATAGTTTATTTATATAATCAGTGGAGTGAAACAGTCTGCACAGAGAGCGTTTGAAGCGTATAACCAAAGAGTAGGTTCTGACATCTAGGGGCAGGCTATTCCATATTTCAGAATACATCACTGTGAATAAGTTTTCACGGAGTGTTGACTTAAAGGTTTCCATGTCCTTTGGCATGTGTACCATATAGTTATTTCTTGTGAGGTAAGCGACCTTAAGTTAGCCTTTTATGGACGAGGCCTTTCAATGCATGTGGCCTGGTCAAGGTTGTGATTGCTGTGTGGACATCTATTCTCCTTTTACCTGGGCTTTAACCACACGACCAACTGTTTAGCCTGGTCGACCTAACGTGCTGGCAAGGCTGTTCTCAACATAGCCGCATCTGACGAAGGGAGAATATAACACTAATGACTACGCTAAGGTGTACACATTAGCAACAATATGAGTGCATTATAAAGATGCACAGCCTCATAACAATGTCGCCGCTGAACGCTTGTGACTTGTAAATCATAGTGACAACTATGTGATTCAGTAGGCACGGCTGAGATCCGATTTGTTTGACGGACTTTTTTGATCCTTTACATTAGCGCTTATGCCAATTAGCGCACCCAAGCGTTCAGTTTCGCACAAAGCTCTACTACAGTTGCCGTCTCTTGAAAGTCCATCGACAAGGAGTACCATATGAATCCGGATCAACAAATAGAATATTTGAAGCATAGCAGTTTCTCCTCCTTCAAAGATATTAGCATGACAACTTATGGAATACTAACGTCTTTTCATCCTCCATGCCCAAGTAGCACGGGAGAAAGCCCTTGTTCTTCCACATGAGGAAAAACCTCATATTCGCACACTTTTATGCTAATGTCAACCAAGCTGCAAATAATGGCCCAGAATTATCAGCCTACAGCATTCTTTGCTAGACATTGGTTGCCGGCCTCCACTGGTCAGTTCGACTTGTCATGTTGAATTCACGGGCCAAAGTATGTTTATGTGTGGCGCGCCTTCGTGTTACGCTAGGCAGTTCATGTACCAACCCTGGCTAGTTGAGAGATCTTTATCATCTTACATTTCTGATCCAGAAATATGTCTTTTATTCTTCACGGTCAAACAGTTGTTTTGATTCGTCTTCTATCTCGGTAGAACAAGTAATTTTGGAGTTAATGGGATGAATAAGTGCGCTTGCATACAGCTTATCTTTCGTCAACAGAAAGGTGATTACTCACTGGATCTTCATAAGTCTCTAATTATCATTATGCGGTTAAAGTGGATAATTATAGAGGCTATCTCACAAATGAAACCTCTTTTTGTTATAAGACTGGATCCTAAGTAAAACTTCTCAGCTGCAGGTATCATAATATAGGACGCTTCGTGAGGCTGGAGAAGTTAAAAATAAACTCCTACGGGGATGAATGCATCCGTGAACTATGAGCGATCAGTTGCACCAGAAGGTAAATTTAGCTATATAAATGAACTTTAATCTTAATTTTTCGGTTAGATTTACTCTACCTTGTTCCTAAGGTGACCTTAACCATAATTCTGATATGATGTAACACTAATATTCGCCTTAGTTAACCCTTATCCAAACGTACCCATAAACTCAAGCAAAATCGCTAACAATTCTGCAAACAAACTATGAATATGGTGTCATTTACCTGGTTTCAATGTCTTGACTAGACTGTGCTTTTCAAGGTCGTTGGTGCATTCACTGGACTAGATATCTGCTTCGCCATACAAATTCACTAAGACAAATGCGTCTAGGTACTAATTTATCTACAATCCTATGTCTTTTAAGTGATCTAGCAGCATGCCTGATACAGTTAGCCCAGCAATGTGAAAATTTGAATAAGTGAGCTTATCCGTCATGTTGGTTGAAATCTTCATTAGTAAGCTTTTACTGTGAATAATTTCTAATAAAACTGTGCTATATGTTTTCTGGATTGATGGGAACCCTCATTTTCTGACATGTCATATTTGTGTCTGCATCAGGTGACCTAGATGTTTGCATAGGCGCAGTTTTAAACTTGAGTGAGTGACCATGCTTTTCGCCATGATCCCCGCTTTCATTCATAAGAAATCTGATAATTTATCAATAAAAAATTTCAGTAAAGTTAAATTATCATAGCCAAAATCAAGGTCTTTCAAAAGTTGACTTTTAAGAACTCATCAGGCACAGGGAATGATATCATTCCAAATCAAATCATGCAAGCCTTTTCGAACCTGGAGAGGGAAGATACAGTATTCTAATTATTTACTAGCCACCTAAGGTAGGGTTATGGCTTTTAAGATTAAGGTTTGGGCTTAAGGTTAAGTTTATGGTCAAAGTTAGAATTAGGCCTAATTCTAATGCTAACTCCAGAGTTGGAGCAGTGTTGGAAATATCAGTGGATCTCAAAGTACCGGGCTCTACAGACACCTGGATATCACACATGGTATGATTTCTCTATGGATCATGTGTATCCCGTGTTGTAACAGTAAATGGTTCCCAACATGATATACAGCCACTCCGAATTTTTGTATTGACATTGATTTGATATGTCTACAGACTGTCCTATGAAAAACTGGGACCAGCTTGTACAGCATCTTAGAGACATATACCCTGCATAATTCAATTTTGCCACATATGTCTTCTAAATACACTTTTCACCTAGAACAATATAGTTGATAGATTCAAAGTCATTTGACTGGTGTTTATTCTTAATTGTTGCCTTTCTCCCACATATATGCATAAGTTTGTGGCTCTATAACATTTCTCTGCTTTCTTGTATTTACCTCCGAAGTTCAGTAGCTATAACTTTTGTACCTGTATGGAAATGTTAAAGTCATTGATTCATTCAGTTTTGCCGAGTCCTAGCCTGCCCTGACTAGCTATGTTAACTTAGCCTGAGTTATCCTGTCAAAGCAGCACAACAATCACTGAAAGCTTTCAGTTCTGGCTAAAGTGATCTAGTAAAAGTGTGCGGCTTGCTTGAAAATAATCATTAGGGTGCTAAAGATTTCTAGTTGAAAATTTCCGTTTGGTCGGTCTTACCGTCTAATTGTGATATTAATATAGGAAGTGGCCTCAGACGTAATATCCAATCTTTATGCCATCGGGTTCATGTTTGTCATCGTACCATCGATTTAATTTTCTGTCCTCGTATAATTGCTCAAAATTTGACTTACTGCATAAAGATTGATAAAAGGATCAGCCAGAGAATATTGTATGACATGCTATTTTTAAAATCTTGTGGTCAGGGGAAGACTCAAACTTTGTAGCTAAATTAATGTCTTCCTTTCAGTAAATTTATATCACATTGTGGTCTAGAAAGCTATAGACAAGGAGTAGAGTGGTCAACCTGCAAAAAGTTATTTATGACACTTTGTAAATTAATGGTCATACCATCTCACTACTTCATGTGTGTGTGGGGGGGGGAGTGGAAATCAAAGTAGATTGGCTATAAGACTCGTAATCCCTTGAATTTCCTCTCCTATTGATTGCGTCTTGGCAAATTGGTTAGTAATTTGCATTCTACACCGAACGAGTGGTGAAATTTCATTATAGTTTCCTTTGGAAATTAAGTTATTCACATCACAACACGTGATTTGCGTAATGCCATAAGCAACAATTAAACAAGCGAACTAAGGAAAATGGAGGTCCGGTGTGTACATTAACTCGGTCAGGCTAATGGCTGACTGACTGTTTTCAACATAGAAATTTTCACCGGTGTGCAGCAGTTCGAGTCGCCACACCATGTAGCACGCAAAGCAAGAGAAGAAAGTAAAAAGAAATTTAAAGTAGAGACAGTAAATAGAGATATAAGGCAAAAAGAATAGTAATATCAAAGAACAATATGGTTTTATGAGGTATTATAAGTCACAAGGAGTGGATGAATTTGCGCTAGCCATTAAGAACGATTTTCAGCCACATTACCAGTTGTCTCCAACCATTGGTTCTTACCATCCTGAGTACCCCAACCAGTCAGGAAGTCTACATCTTCCTATGTGGCTTAAACTAGCTGTTGTGAATGTGTTTAAAGAAAGAAAAAAAAACACTGGCTCAGAATAATCTGGATCCATTTTATTTCGTTGGTTCTCATCATCTGCGTACAACCTGAATTTTAAAATAAAATAAAACGTACAATTTTAACAAACCTTTGTCCATTAGCAAGGATTTTGTCAGAGCGTCATATTAAAATAAGGCTCTTAACTCTTTGTTTTCCAATTCTGTTAACCTATCTTTTCACTCCACACCCCACTCCCCTTTATTTTTCGCTTAACTCTTTTAAGGGGTAATTTTTCTTGATCTTCTGAGTTCTGCTCACTGTATTACATCATCAACTTCTCATGTGCACCGATCTCTTATCCAATTACGTAACTATTACTAATTGTCTTTTGTTACCACCCCAACAACACAACTGTTAATTAATTTTTCTTCAAGACTTCTCTCTACCAAGATATATATATATATCGTAACACTTTAAACACCCTGTAAATCTCAACGCCTTATTTTACTATGACGTTCTGACACTATGCTTGCTAATGGACAAAAGTTTGTTAAAATTGTACTCTTTTTTATTTTACTAAGGAATTCAGGTTGTACGCAGCTGATCAGAACCAACGAAATAAAATGGATCCAGATTATTTTGCGTCAATGTTTCTTTCTTTCTTCGTTCAAATTTATAAAAGGGAATCATTGTATGAAATTCTTGAAAAGTCGTCTCTCTGTTGTGAATTTCGTTGACTGATGTCATGTCTGGCTAGTAAGCACTACTAGTTGATATGAATAGTATGCAACTAGTCATCTCAACCAATCAGGTGGAAATAACCTTATTTATTTCCTTTATATATTTAATCAATTTATTTTCCTGTTCTCTTTTAACTCTTCAGATGATTTGTGCCTAACATATAAAGGGATTTTAAATGTCTGAAAGTGTAAAACGCGGTTTATTCATAGTTTTTGAAGGCGCCGAGAAATGCGGCAAGAAGACACAATCAGAACTGTTACAAGAAGCATTAACTCAAATCACAGGGAAATCAGCGCTACTCATTCATTTCCCTGACACGACTACACCAATTGGAAAAATACTGGCTGAATATAATGATGGAAAACTTCAATTGGAACCGCATGTTGCTCATTTACTCTACACAGCTAACAGGTAGTTGACTGTCTTTTTCTAATCATATTAAGTGACTGTATGTTACGAGATTATTTAACTCTCTTGGCAATAAGATTACAACAAGTGCCATACATATGTGAGGGTTAGGTTAAATGTCGATGAAATTGCATGAATGTTTACTAGAAACCTACATATTGGCTCATATGATATCTTTCCCATCAATTCATGGAACTTGTATTCGACACTAACGCCCACTGCAGCAAGTGTGACTGTTGTGAGCTAGTGGCCTCGGGGATAAAGTTTTGGCGTTTGAAACTATGAATTCTGGGACTGAGTCTCAACGAGAACACCATCACTCACTGGGAGTGCACATATACTCTGCTGATGACGAGCCCTAAGTAGGATGAAACACATGCGTCTTGAATTCCACTGTTTGGCACCACCGTGAAAGTAATTCCTGTCAATTGTTTTTATCTCTCCGAGGAGTGCTAAACAACCTTCATAGCATTTTTATGCCTTAATAATGTACCTCCATCATTGGAGATTAAGTGTAACTGATTGTTAATGTAAGGGATTCCTTTATGGTCTTCTGGTGAGATTTTGTCTCTTTTATACTGTTGTGACAGCTCTAGCATTCTGCAACAGTTTATAATACTGCTACTACTACTACTACTACCATGGGACTACTTTTAAGTTTAATGCTCATTCATTGCAATTGCGTACACCCTGTTCTTGACGTCGTGCGTTATTCAGATGTGGCTGATTTGTTTGAGGAGTCCACTTTCAGGCAATAGGTCGTGGGCTCAATTACTACTCCGTGTGCTCTAGCATAGGGTAAGTCAGTAGTATAATTGACCCTAATACAATGAGTGTGGTTCATAGTCTGCGAAATAAAAAAACCTTTTTTGGGAATTGAAGTTAAACTGAAGCTTGTACACCCCTAGAAACTTAATAAACTACAATTTTAAGAGACCAACTTCACTTCAACATACAAGAAGATAAAGAACAGCGAGAGTTGTGGGTTGATGTCCCGCTTCACTTGAAGATTTAGCAGTAAAATTGTGCAAAAAGATTACGAGGTGGTTAATTAGAATGACTCCACTGTCAGAAAGCTGCTCAGCAGTCCCCTCCGTCCTCCTTTATGACTGTGAGTGAGACATGACCATTGTGAGTGGAAGACACGTAAAGACTAGCTATCTTTGATCATAGGTGCCTGCGGTCTATCTCCCGTGTGAAGTGGTATAATAGGATGAGCAATATTGAGGTTAGGCGTCGAGTGCTGGGTAAGGAGAGGAAATCAATCGATGAGACTGTAAAGCTACATCTGTTGAGATGGTTGGGACATGCGTTACACATGTATGCCAAGCCATTAATCGCCTTCCTCAACGGGCAATTTTAGCTGACGTAGGGTCAGGTTGGAAAAGAACCATTGGTGGTCAAACCGAGACATGGCTTCATCAGTCAATGAAATCCACAACAGTTAGTTTAAACCAGTCATGTAGAAAGGTTTAGACTTCCTGACTAGTCCTCGGGACGGTGAACATCAATATATATATATATATATATATATATATATATATATATATATATATATATATATATATATATATATATTTGAATATTCTATTTCATGTCGTTTAATGTAAACCGAAATCACACGCTCAGTGATTGGTTAAATAATATACAAACCGTATATATAAACAGCGGTTTCATCAATGTAAAACATGCCTTTGCTACCGTGTCTTGCCTTCTGCTGTTACAAAACTACCCTCTCAATGAGGAGCTTAAGATTATCAGAGAATTACTTAGTACAAATGATTATCTAGGTAAGTTCATTGAAAAAAAATATGAATTTGACACCAGAACAAACCAGTAGGGCGATAGCTGCTAAAAAGTCACCGTTCATTAACAGGCTATTCTTCTGTGATAACATCAGTGAAATAGTAATACAGTTAGAGAGCATTCAGTCCAGGAGAAGTGCGCTGTTTCTTCATATCCACTCAGATTTCGCGTTCAAGAAATAAGGACAAACCGCTTGATTTCGCCCCTTCTATGGCCGCAGTTACAGAGCCAGCTATAATGGCCTTTCAATTAGGCAGGTTTGATTTTTTGATTTACAGCTTGATTCCACACTGTATTTTCGGTACAAGTATGGAATTTTCAGCATGGATATCGGTAGCCCAAATTTTGCAGGCCGACCATAGATATCAGGTGTGCGTCGGTGCGGGCTCGAACCCCGGACCATGTGCATGGTCGGTGAGAGTCCTAACCACTGTGCCACCGACGCACTATCGGATTTCTGAACATCATCCAGCATGGTTAAGTAAAGGCCAAACAAGATCCATTCGTAGCTTTGTATTAGCACACCTTGTAGACAGTGAGCATAAAATTGATGTTAATACAGTAAATACAGCTATTTATCGTATTCCAACTAATCTTAGTTTTGCTTTGCGACTGAAGCCATAGGAATCTACCTGAAGAAGCCAGATCTGTATGTGTTCGGAAAGAATTCGTACAGCCACTTTTTTTTTTACCTTGGCCATCGTTACATGAATGTAGATGTACCTGAATGAAGCCTGTGGGTATCATAGGTTTGTAATCAGGGTTTTCCAACTCTTCTAGGTCGACCCACTTGTTCACCAGTCCGGTTGTAGGCGTCAGACATCATCCTCATTCGCCCCTTTACTCTTGTAGGGAACATTCCCACCATCACGTGAAAGCAGTGACTAGGACTTATCTATTAGAGTCTATGAATGTGCGGCTATATGTGTGAGAGCATTTCGATAGGCTGACCGAATTCTACCGACTCTGAGGTTGTGTACCAGATCTCTTGTTGGAGATGTGGAGGATTTATTCTGTCGATATACATTGATCAAGCATCAGTTAGGTATTTTCACTGATCTGTTGATGTGCTTTTTTTCTTCTTTTCATAACAGATGGGAACGTCAAGATGAAATTTCTGCTGCTCTGAAGGCTGGTATCAGTGTTGTTGTCGATCGTTACAGTTATTCGGGTATCGCGAATACAGCCGCCAAGTTTCATCCACTCTCAGAAGCTGATTGGCAATGGTGTCGTTCCACAGAGTCTGGTCTACTGCAACCTGATTTTATATTTTGTCTTGCACCAGAAAATTTCGCTGAAATTACAGTACGTGATGGATTTGGTGAAAAGAAATTTGAGACACCAGATTTTCAGAAACAAGTTCTTATCAATTATGGTCGTTTGTCGCGTGAAATGGAAGCCGAGTTGAATGAGACTGCTGGTGTTGGTGATGCTGCTGCTGAAACGAAAGAGTCAGAACCACGACTGTGGCATTGGATACCAGCAACTGGACAAACTGTAGACGATACTCATTCATGCATTATGGCTATCATCGATCCAAAACTATAGGTGAATCCTTTTTAAATAGAAACTTTTCTATATACTGTATGGTCTTTTGATGTTCGCAATTTTCTTATGAGGGTCACATAAGGCGGTAGAAATCATAAGGTACTATTATGACGGTAGAAAGGAAGAGGGTTGGTAAGTGACCATTTTTCAATTCTGACTACTACCTAGCAATTGTTGTCAGTAGCACACGCCACACTTGTTCTCTCGTCGAATAGTTTTGAGCGGAGCCGCTGCAATTTTCTTGGCTCTACCCGTTCTCGTTGTTTCTTGGATGGAAGCACGATGTGGTAGTAGAATCATTGGAAGCCAGCCACTTCTTCAGTGTAAGGTTGTTACTGTCAATCAAACCATTCGTTTGTGGATGATATGGTTTTCTGATCGCCTTAATACCTAGAGATCCTGATCTGTCAGTATCGTTTTCGGTACTCTGTGACCAACAACGATGTGTCAAACTACTGCGTCAGTCACAGTTCTCGGCGTCTACTCATCGTGCAGCTTGTCCCATCATCACCGGGAGGTACTGATTACCAAAGGATGTCTGAGGAAACGGACGCATCACATCTATGGACCACAAGTCACCTACTGGCTTAATTGTAATCGACCGCAGAGGCGAACGTATGCACCGATCTTCCATCAACTGACACTGCGGACATCCAAGTACATATTTTGCCACATATTCTCTCATACCTGGCTAGCACATGCTTTGTCTTAAGGGGTCGGTCGTTCTGGCCACTCCTATAAGTGTTAGCTGGTGGCATTCTTCTGTCATCTCATGGCGTAGGGACAGGTGTTACTGCCAACCAGCTTCCATCGCTTTCTCACCAAGTCAGAGTTCCATAGGTGTTCACTCTTAATTGTTCTCTCTGTCTGAGGAGCGTGCTTAGCTATTTATATCTCCTTCGAAAACAAGAGGCCGTGGGATCTTCATTGTCTGGAGGCTAGGACACTATGATGTAACGGGAAAAGGCAAGAGACTTGGTAACGGGCCTATTTTCACTATTGACTACTTCCTGTCAATCTGTGTCTATATACTACTGATAATGCTTGTCAGTAGCACACAACACACTATAAGTGAAGCGTAAAAGTCCACGAAATATGTAGATTTCTAAGAGATGATAGTTTGTGTGGATATCCCCTTATTTGTGTACTAATCTGTTTGACTCAGTTAAATTGAATTGTGATGCTGGTCAGATTTCTTCTTCAGCTTCAGTCATCAATCATGTACCTTAAATAATCTCATGGGTAGTTGTTATTTGAGAAACATTCGACCGGTTTTAACAAGGATTGATTCTCTTATTCGTCGTAATGTCTCTCAAGTTTCGAAATTATTCTGACTTCATTCTGAAGAGCGGAGTGGAATGGGTCTCAGGTTCGAATCCCCACTCCAGTGGCTTGAGTAGAATCATCAAACTTCATATGGCAGATGTGTAGCACATTTTTGATTAACAGGTTCCAGGTGGGTTCATTTCAGAGAAATTTAATGTTATCAGCTCGTAATTAAGCCTGTCACCAATCAAATCTCTGCAAACCAACAACTTGATAATAAATCTGATCCTCACTAGTGACTAGTTTCTTTACAGGAAGTTACCTGGAGTTCTAGTGAGAAGTCGTAACTGCCAGAGTGTCCAGCCTACGACATTGACCGGCGGTTGCACTGGCCTGGCAACTGGATCGAGTCCCACAGACTGAATGGTCTATGAGTTCGCCTTCTAACAGGAAGGTCCTGGCTCCAAAAGCTGGTGGGGAGATGCCTACTACTGAAGAGTCCCAAACCAGAAAGAAACAACTATCCAGTGATGATGTTTGGTTTCTCAGTGGTTCTCTAACTAATGTCAGCTAGTAACCAAGCGTGTCACCAATCATATCCCTGCAAACCAACACTTTTCGATTCCGATCAGTAGATTTAAATAAATCATTCGCGAGAAATGGATTCATTGAACAGATTATGGTCACTATGATTGGTTCTGCTCACCTGCATTAAACAAGTCGGGGAGGGAGGCGTTCTCGTAATAAATAGGAGTGTATTCTGCCCGTAAAATTTTGAAATAATAGAAATGATTTGTAGCTCAGGTGGATATTGTTGTGTTCTCTGAACCGGTTGGTTTCTTCGCAGAGCTCTGATTGTTCTTCTAGATAAAGCCTCCAGCGCCCACTTCAATATGGGGTTGTTCATGAATGATATAACTGTCACCCCTGATGCCACTGGTTGTGATTGTTTGTCTTCACAGGCTTTTATTATCCTTGCGTTAATTTCTACTAGTATCAATCGTGTCATTCACCTGGTGTTCTTAACTGGTTGATAAAGTTCATCTGTGTCAATGTATGTTGAGTGAACAACCATCTGCGTACCAGTCTTCTTGGATTTCTCTGTTTCAAAGCAAAACCATCAACTGGGATGAAACAGATGCAGGTTTTCTAATGGTTCTCTAACCGATGTCAGCTGATGATGAAATCCTCCAACTAATTAAAGCAATTTCAGCATCCTTGCGAATATTACATAGCGTCAATCGACAGTAGACTCCAAATTTAATAAACCACCCTCTGAAACTATATTTATACATCTTATGCTCAGAAGGTTCCAGTTCAGACAAAAGTAAAGGCTTGGATACACTGACAAAAGAGTTGCGTAATAAAGATAAAGGGTAAATAAGATAATCAGTAACTAATAAATTGCGCAACAGTTTAGTGAGTCCACCTCAAATCACAGAAACAAGCGACAAGCTAAGTTACTTTATAACAAAATAGGGGGAAGAGGTTAAAGGCAATGATTACTTAGTCAGATGAACGAGAGGGTTAAGATATCCAGTTACTAGGGCATGGAAAGTCTGATAACTGTTTCTTTCTGAACACATAAATCGGATTTCAGGCGTTTCATAGCATAACATACTTTGGTAAACTTGAGTAGGACTGAACTATTTTGTCTATTGATAATTATTTTAAAAGATTTCGTGATGTTTCCCCACAGGACCCGTCATCGACAACGTCTCTGGCCATGGCACTGTTGTAAACGTTTGTGATTCAGGGGAGGGGGAATCGCGAACAAAATACTTCACGCTGGACACAATCTCTATATATGTTATATAAAAGGGCACTTAAATCATCCGGCTGACAGTATGCTGTCTGCAAGCCAAAACTGTAGACAACAATTCATGTCCGGAATCAAGGTCATGAGAAAAAGAATAACAAAGTCTAACCTTGAGAAAATCACCAGCCAATCACAGAAGAATTGGAGTGTAGAAATATGATTCGCTGATATATGGCTTGATTTTCTGGGAAACAGCCACAAAGCTATGACAGAATAACCTTCAATAAGAAAACAACCGATCACAAGAGGTTGCTCCTCCGCTAACCATAATGTACATAAAAATCTATAAATACCTGTTGATTTTCTCATTAAACGATCTGATGCCTGTCCCTTGTCTTCTGTCGTTACAATATAACACAATCACATCAAGATTGTAGTCCACATCCGCTAGGAATCTTTCACAGATACGTTGTTGTTTTATTACATTGACTTATTGTGCAAACAACAAATGGAATATAAATATTTCTTACTTATCAGAGAAGCCTTTATCAACCAGTTGATACGATGCGTAACATTTAAAATCACTTAACAAAATATAGTCACAGGATTTCATTATGAGCTGACATTGGTTGGAGAACCATTGGAAAACCAACAGGGAGTACTGGACAGCTGTTTCGTCCTAGTTTGGGACTCTTCAGCAGCACTCACCCACTGACGGGGTTCGAACCTAGTACCTGGTTACAAGGTGAGCTGGCCCGCAGACCATTAAGCCGCTGGGACCCGACTGAATGGCCCATGAATACTAACTTCTGCCAATTCATGACATAGCGCGACCCCTAGCCAATGTTTTCGGCGAGTATTTGTCCTCACACCTGACCTGCTGCACCTTACTGGTCACAAATTCTCACTAGAACTCCAGGTAACTACTTACCTGAATAGGGCAAGTCGCTAGTTAGCATGTCATTCATATTCAAGTGTTAGTTTGTAGGGATATGATTGGTTACAGGATTTCATCATGCGCTGACATTGGTTGGAGAACCTGAGAGTACGGGACAGCTGTTTCGTCCTAGTTTGGGACTCTTGTATCTGGTAGGTCCTGGGTTCGAACCCCGGTGAAGGAGTCCCAAACTAGGCTGACGAAATAGCTGTTCAGTACTCCAAGGTTTTCCAATGGTTCTCTAACTAATATCAGCTCATGATGAAATCCTATAATCAATCAAATCCCTACAAACCAACACTTGAAGATATCTAGTCTTTGGACCAGATGACAATGAACCAAGAAGACTCATTTCGACAAAGCCAACCAACTTTTTAACGTAGAACAGAAGGGCACTAGCTCAAGTGTTGTTACATTTCTTATATACCCCACAAAGGTAAGGAGGAAAATTCAAGAAAACTGTAATGAATAGAAGTGTACAACAAGGAGAGTATCTGCATCAAGGAGTTAACAGATCTGGAAGATTACAAAGAGTGAATACATCTGCGTGAAAGAGAGAACGTTTATAAGCTATATATATATATCACCAACTGTCATCAGCTATTGGTTCTTAGTGTCTGGAAGACTACAATGAGACAGTCTCTGTCTCCACGCGCAACTCACAGCAATGGTCAAAGACTTGGTGGATTGATCCCAGGTTTCGATTTGACCATCCATAATTCTTTGTCAATCTAATCTAATGTTAGTTAAAAGTCAATCTGAACGAAGAATATTCTTTTCAATAATTTCTCCTCTTCATGTCCTTACAATTATAAAATATAACGCATTTGTTGCCGTTACAATAAATGCCATTTATGCGGCGGATACATTTTTAACGTAGAATAACAGATTAGTAGTTATGGTGTGTCAAGATAAATAATCGTATTTGTGTGACAAACGTGCTAGGCTGAAATCGATTAGAAAATATTGTTAAATGGTAGACAATGGCGGTGATTAGTCATAATAGATTTGTAGAGTGTGGGGTAGGAAAATTGACAA